ACTTGTGGAAACAGATGAGGGTCAAGCTTTATTTTTTTTTTAATGATGATGATGACGACTGCATATATGTTTAAAAAGCATCCCGAAAAAAAGAAAATGAAAGAGATGCTCAAGCTGTAGGGAATTTGTGTGGCATTTGCTGGTGAAAGGGCAGTGAAGGTGATGCCACAGATATCCCTGTATGTTTTTAGGAGGAGGAGGGGAGCGGACTGGGGACGACTGGTGTGAAAGGTCCTGTGGTGGTATGCGACAGAGGGGGTATCAGTTCGTGGAGGGTTTTCTGTGCCCCATTAGCAATGTCAGAGGTCAGGTGCCCCGGGTGTTAACCCTGGTGACCAGTCTAGCTCCCAGTCTGCCAGGGGACCCTGGTCCAGGGGTATTTATTACTCTTCCCCACTGACACATACACATCTACTATGCTCCAATTCCCCCCCCCAATACAGCTCCCCTCATGAAGGAAAACAAAGCTCCCCCAGCCATTTCTCAGCCAAAATATATGTCCTAATTGGATGCATGTCCATACAGTGATGCATGATGACCCATCTGTAGATTTTTGTCTTACAGTGAAAAATTGTTACATCCTCCAGCGCTGCAGCGTGTTTTGGCCCATTTCACGCGTGTTTTATTAAAAATCAGCTAGCATGCTTACATTTTTTAGGCATTTGTTTTTTAGGCATCACTTTTTCTAATGTGGATAATTCTGCATAATTGATTGTGCACACATGGCTGCTTTCAAGTCAGTATTTGTCTTTGTGTGTGCATGTGTACGTGTGTGTTGTTTTATGGCCTGTGTGTGTGTGAGACATACACATGCATGCGTGCATGTATCTTAGCCTGCTGTACGAGTTAGTGTTCTCAGTGTGTGAGTGTGGCAGAGGAAGGCCCTCAGCATGTCAGTATGTTTTAATGCTTCACATCTGGTTTCCTAATTTTCCTCCCCTCCTCCCCACCCGCCTTTCAGCTCCCCCTCCACCACGATGTCAGGACACTGTTTTGTTTTTTCAGGGTGGCGGTGGGGAGGTGATGGAGGGGATGTCTGATGAGTGATGGCCCTGCATACAGGACGTCGACATTCTTCCTCTCTTCCTCCGCGTCCGCCTCTTCATCTTTTTTGCTTTTTTGCAGCCTTTTTTAGTTTGAATATTAGGGATTACAGACTGGGTCAAAAATTACATTTATTAAGATGATGAAGAAGAGCGTCTCTTTTTCCGTCTCCACTTTTCGCCTCTCACCAAGCAGCAGGGAACCCACTTTTGCTGAGCAAAAATGATGACAGTCACCCCCTCCCCATAGTTTGCTTTAAGTTTTCTCCTCTCGTATATTTGGATTAAAGCATAAATTTGTCACTTTTGCTGCACTGACCCAAAATTAGAAAACTAAAGCCAACCCCAGGAAAGTGAGAGTCGGAGTGTTTTCTGTGCTCCTGGCTAATTTGAACTCTTCATTAAAGCCACGCTTGAATCAGATTGCTTGAAGAGCCACTGCAACCAGTAAAAGTTCATTTACAGCGAGAATAGTGGGTGATGTGTTTTACGACTATGTGAAAAGGCAGTTTATGTCAACAGTGATTAGTGCTGATGAATGCCTATGAAAATTTTTGTTAAGTCCTTTGGTGCTTAGGTGCTCACTGGATGATTAAGGCCATGTGTAAAGCAGGGCAATGCTTACATGTGTAACAGATGCTAAAATCGACTGAGGAATGTGAAACCAGGCATAGTAAAGAATGAAAACGTGTTTAAAAAAAACTGTTACTCTTTTATTGTTTTTAGTGTCACGACTTGGAGTTTGGTCACTGATCTAGTTTTAGCAAAGCAAGTTGTCACTCCTGGGATGCCCACCTCATGCTGCGAGGCCTGTGTTTAGTCTTGGGAACTGACGCAGATGTAGACAAAGGGACTGGAGGCCTTGACAGAGATTTAGAAGTGAAGACAGAAAAGAAAAAAACACACTCCCTGTGGCGCTCTAGTGTAAAAGGATCCCAAAGTTTAAGACTTGGTTCTATGTTTTGTTTGTGTTTCCTGTTTTAAGCGTGTATGTGGAGGGAAGACGCTGCAGAAGATAAAACTTGATTCTCATAGCTGACTGCAGCATGCTGTAGGGTGAAATTTGCCACTAATGTGGAACAGCAATCTTAATCTAAGAAGTTTTATTTTTAAAATACATTTTTACAAGATTACCAATAATGCTTTATCTTATAGTCTGCAGTTCTTCTTCAATTGTCAGTCGTTAAAACAAATATTTATTGAGGCAGACAGTTTAAAAATTGTTTCATACCTCCCATTAGTTTTATTTGCACTGTGTTACCCACTTGACAGTGTTTTAATAAAAACAGGATCTCTCTTTTCCACCTGCTTTATGGAGCAGTATAATCTGTGGATGTGTAACAAGGCAGCTATTAAATATAAACACGATAACTCTGGTGGAGTTCTTTGAAAATAGCCTTTCTCTGCAATTTCCCTGTGACATGAGGATCACCTCCAATTCTTAGCGTGTTCTCTTCGTCTCTTCTGTGTGCACGGGGAGGTGTGTGGGTGTATTACATTACCAAAACAAAAACAAACAACAGCAATATTAAACTTTTGCAACCACAATAGAGGAGGGGATAAAAACAGAGGGTCCTCGACTTCTTATTAATTATGCAAGATTAGTCTAATTATAATTCAGCAAATGAATGTGTGGCAGAAGGTGCGAGGCGACGGGGCTGGGAGATTTGCATGTTAAGTGGGCAGGGGGAAGCGGCTAATGCATGCTAATATATGCGTCAATGTCTCGCTTTAATTTCAGCATTTGCAGCTGTGTGCGTCCGAACTGGGGGGGGGGTGAAAAGTTGACTCAATGGGTTTTTGGGAGGGGAGCAGAGGGGTGTGTGTCAGTGTATTAGAGTGTGCATGTATGCATGCATGCGGATGTGTGGTTGTGAGCGTGCATGTGTGAGGCATCCGGTGTCATACAAACAAGGAATGATGAGAAGAAGTCAACAAACAAGGTCAAGAACCCTCAGAAAGTGCACAAAGCCTGAGATCGGTGTAGACAGCCTTTGAATTAGGTTGTGATTTTGGTATCTGATGCATCACTACAGCAGAAATTTATCATGTCAGTCAGTCAAGTGAGTGATTACGACTGGATTGTGTGAGGAAACCAGTGTTATCAAACCACAAGCATACAATGGACCTGCTTACTGAACCAGAAATGTGATTCCTGTGATGTAATGGTTAATGCATAAGGCTTCTATATTCCTTTAAATGAGCCACAGTGTAAGAAGCATTGGCCCGGACATAATCAATATGTATTCTGTATCACCTTCAGTAGACACAGTAAAATGAAACGGGACAATTTTGATTATTGTCCACTTGTAGAGTCCAGAACCAGACTTTAAAACTCTGCCTGTGCAGGATTTTAACATACATGCACTGCTGCATGTATGTTAAAATCCTGCAGATGTGCCCTTTTACATGTTTCCACCCCAAACTGAGCGTAGCTTTGAGTTTGGAGGCCTAAGATCTAAGTGATAAATTGCAATCGCCCTCTGCCAACAACAATATTGATTGTCCTCTGACGAAATAGCTCAAATCAAGAAATATTGGACACACTGTTGGAACGGAGTTAGAAGCCAGGTCCTGTTCACAAGGGAGGAAGTTGGAGCGAGTGATGGAAGAATAGCGAGTAAAAACTGACAGAATGAGGGAGAGATTAGTATTCGATGGGAGGATTCAGGGCCATGGGGCCAATATGAAGTTCCTCTCCAAACAACCGCTCTACATTAAGATGACTTATACTTGCAGAAAACACAGTGTGGGTGGGATTGGAGCTACCCATGAAGCCCCCCCCCAAGCTAAAAAACCCCCCAAAAGAAATACGTTGCATCCTTGTGCAACATTTTTCTCTGCTTTGCTATTCTTTGTTTTATTGGAGTGCTAATGGGTGTGTTTCTCACAGACACGGCAGAGATGTGGCAGATGTGTTTACTGTGAAGTGAAGAAGCGTAATTACATCACAATCCTGCATCAGCGCAAAGCTCATTCCTATTTTATTGTATTTTAACACACGTCCTCTCTTTAAGTCCTCCACCTCCTGAGCCCTGTCTGCACCTGTCCTCTTTATATACTTTCCTGCCTCTCACCTCGCCAAGTCTCTCTCCTGGCTCCGCGCTGGGTTTCAGTGATGGAATGTGTTCTTGTTGTTTCCTTTTCTTTCCCACCGCTGTCTTTGCCTCAGCATGGGGACTTTGGGATTGCGGCAGAGCTGCGTTGCCATGGCAGCGGGCTATGTTGCCGAACTGCGTACACCTGGGATTTGGAGTCTCTCTCCACAGTCTCCCTCTCTCCTATTTATTCCACCTTTCTCTCAGGTTTCCTTTGGTGCAGCAGAGGCTATCAGCACCTCTTTCTCTCTCTCTCTCTCTCTCTCTCTCACCTACTCTGTGTCTGCACAGTCTATCACACCCAGAAGTAGACTCACATACGTAATGAGACACATATACTTGAAAACAAAATTCATGTCCATACTAGTGCCTGTGCCTCTATCGCTACCTTCCATCTTCCCACCTCCTCGTTTCACTTTCTCTATAGTTGTCTGTACTTCATTTCCCTCTCCATTCCCATGTGGGGGTTCAAATACGGCATTGTGGGATACCACGGTCCCTTGAGTCTCCTGGCATACATCACTGTCTCCAGTGTACTTTGAAACACCGTGGCTGTTTCACTGGACTGTGCTTCAAAATCTCATTACTTGATTTAAAGTGTAATAACATTGACTTTATTATTAAACTAAACAGCTGGGATTGAAGACAGAACAGTAATCAGATGTGTACAGAGCAGAGACGCACACATCCGCACAACCTTACACACACAAGACCTGTCTCGGAAAAATAATTAGCGTCTTCTTAGACTGCCAGTTTGTTACAGGGTAGCAAATAATCACAAACGTGATCAAGATTCTTTTGTGTGATGCTTTTTTTGTTGCTAATATACAAACATGTGTCCTTGTATTTACCTTTGCAGGTTTTTCTTGAAGTTTTTCCTGAAATGTAACCAGAATTGTCTGAAGACAGCAGGAAACCCAAGGGATATGAGGAGATTTCAGGTACAAGTACACGGAGGGAAACCAGCAAGTGTGTGAGTGTGTGCTTGCATGGAAGTGGGGAACGTGGCACTAAAAAACAAAAGGTTTTGGATTAATGAGAATGTCACCTCGTGTCTTCTAATTTAGATAGAGGATTTTGTTTTTGAATTTTCTTGTCACACTTTTACCTTAAACTCCTCCTTTGGAGAGGTTATGCAGAGAAAAACACGAAGGTGGGAGTTAAAGGTGAAAGTTAAAAATCAATAAGAAGACAGCAAGACAGAAAGACAAGTGAAAGGAGTTGGATATGTGGAGGGGGGCTTGGTCGTGGGGGTGCTGGAGTGCAGGAAATAGGTTGAGGTGTTTCAGGAAGTTGTCAAGAATTGAGTGATTGGCTCCAGATGGAGGAGGTCATGCTCCGTGACCCAGGAAGTGGTCACTTGGGACGCTCCCGCCTCACTTCCTCTGCCGTCTTTCAGCAGCAGCGGCCTCTGTCTGGCATTCTCCTCCTCCCAGCAAACCCCCTGTCCCTTCCCTGTCTTCGTCCTGCTGTCTTGCACCATTTTTGCTTTATCCCCTGCGAGGTGACACACACTGAGAAGTTATGAGCACGCAGGCACTCGGAGACTGTCATCTCCGGGTTAAAAGGTGATCGGAGCTGGACAGGAGTCTGACGCTAGATCGATAATTTACAGTTATTTTCCTATAGCTGCCCCTCTTTTTTCCACCACCTATGGATCATATGCCTTTTCTCCTTTTTTCCCTCCTCGTGTTCCCTCACCTGTAAAATTACTGCCATGTGTTTATTTCAAAGGGAGTAAAAAGATTGATCTTTTCTGACATATCTAAAAAAAAAATAAACAAAAAAATAAAAATAAAAACATTATGGTTTATTCAAATTCTTTTCTCATTGATCTTCTCCCTTTAACTGTCAAAAAATGTTCATAAACATGCGGAAACTCAGTTTTGCGCTCAGGATTAGCATTGTATCAACACTCATAATTTTTCCAAAGAGAAAAGTGTCTTCTCATTAATTATTTGTATGTCATCCTCATGATGTGGGAAGGGACACACACATGCTGAGACCAGAAAATCAAATTAGGGTCACAATATATCATCCACTACCTTAACTGCTGGCTAAAATGGGAGATTTGGTCCATATGTTTGCTGTCATTGAAGGATCACGAGGAGACAACGATGAGCCTGCTGCATGCTCTATGAATCAAAAAGTTAGTGCAGGAGAGGCCATATGGAGACCTGATGGGGGAGTGGAGGCTTGCGGGAACAGTGTCATCCCCAGAATGCAGACATATTATGGAGATCCCGGGGATGTCACATTACCTATTAAGAAATATGACTATCACCTGTACACTAAAACAAATCGTTGCTCAGGGATTTTACTGTCGTAACCTGAGATTGTGACTCGCAGCATGCTGTCTAAGTGGGTCATAGACGCTCATGTATCTTCCTCATGGCTCTTTTCCTCTCTTTCAGGTGGTCCTGTGCAGCACTGTGAGTGTAGACGGTCACGTCCTAGCCGTGTCTGACAACATGTTTGTCCACAACAACTCAAAACATGGCAGAAGAGCTCGAAGACTGGAGCCAGGCGAGTCTGTCGAGAATACGATGGAATATGGTAAGACAATTACGCCATCGCGTCACACTTCATTTACCGTACCTTTTTTTTCTGTGTTACATGTCTGCTGCATCACTCACAAGAAGCATAAGACACACTCATCCACAGAACATAAGGGAACAGCAGGTACTCGAGTTGCATAACGTCCGATCATAATCACTGTGGTATATCAAACATAACTGCTGAGGTCATTAACTGAACTAATTAAAGCATTTATTCCATACTTGTCAATGTGTCCTAAAATATTCAACTCAAGATAATGCTGTCATCTCTAATAAACAATGTGCTATGTGGGTGACCAAGGCTTAGGTGATGAAGTGAAATTACTCCTCCCAGAGCTGGTGGTTTGATATCTTACTGCTCCATATGCGAGACTATCAAAACCCAGTCTGTTTCACAGGGCAGGCAAGCACCTTGTGTTGCAGCTATGGTGCTGTTAGTCTCTAAACAGTGAAGGAGAAACACACTTCAAAATGCTTTGTAGAACCACAAAGTGAAAATGCGTATATAAGTGGAGACCATCTTATTGTAAGCCTGAGAACAAAGTTTACAGTTGGAGATCCGTTTCCAGGTATACATCTTCAACATCACATCTCAACTAAGAACAACTTATTTATCTGAACAGTGGTCAAAGGTAACCAAGAACATTTACTCCGGTTCTGTGCATAAATACATTTCATAACGTATTTATTTTTTAATAGAGATTTGTTTTTATCTCTTTCATTTAACGTCCATTGCTTGAGCTGCTGTGTCTGCTGACCTACACTGTATATCTTTCCAATGTGCTCTTCGAGTTCATTGTGGATAAAAATCACATCGTAAACAAAATGAAGTTGAAATATTCAGGCACTAATGCTTTTAGCTTTTGTAACTTTATCTTAGAACTTGTTTTGCACAATCCTGAACTACAGAGCATCTTTAAAACAGTCTTCATCAGATCTCCACTTCCGTTGCACATCTTCTTTTCTCAACTGCTGAACATCCTGTATTGAAACCGCTGAAGTGAATCTTGCTTTGCTCTTCTGTTTAGCTACCCCATGTATCAAAGCCATCAGTCCGAGTGAGGGCTGGACCACCGGTGGTGCAATGGTCATAGTCATTGGAGAGAACTTTTTTGACGGGCTACAAGTGGTGTTTGGAAGCATGCTCGTATGGAGCGAGGTAAGAGCATCTTCATAACATCACACTAATGGTGGTAGATATTTAAAAATGAAAACTTATGCTTTATCACATTATTTCAGTTACTCAGGTGCAGCCTACACAAAATTAGATTGTGTACTGAAAATTAGACTGTGCACTGTAGAAGTAGCCTGAACATTTACAGGACACGGTGGTGAGGATATTTCTTTAAATGCCAGTGGCAGCTGTCATACCATGACAAATGTCACCAGGGTGTCACAGAGTTAACCTCTTAAGCCCCAAGCCTAACTGATCTCCTGCCTTTTGCCCCCGTATCAGGGGGCGTTGGGGCTTAAGAGGTTAAGCTAATGATAGTAGTCCACTTTTTGATGGCTTGAAATTTGCCACTTGTGTGTCTTTTCCTGGCCAAATGCCAGTTTCACTTTGAAAACTGAACTAAAAAATAGTCCAGCTACACTTGACTTGAGCTCCAGACCATGAGTAAAAGTCATGTGCATGGCTCGTGACCAGGACTTCTGGCCTTGTATGTAGTTTCAAACAAGCTTATACAGGTTGTTTCCAACCTTGAACTGATTTTTTTTACACACCATGGTCTGGGTCTACAGCTCTGGAGCCTTTAGTTGGGTTTTTTGGCTGTTACCATGCTCTTGATTTTTGAAATCCAGATATCACAAGCAAGTGAGTAGTCATTCCCTAAAGCATACTCTGAAACTAGCAATAGTGACCACAGATGCACAAGGAACCTTATTATTGACCTCATCAATGAAGGAAGAATTAAAGTTGCTTCCTAGGCCTCTGTTCAGCTGGATCGTTCTCCTGAACATCCCCCGCTGGTCATTACAAAGAAGAAGGATTCAAATTCTTCTTCACTGACATAATATGTCTCTGTCAATCTTTATATATAGTCTTTTTTTTTTTTTACAAGGAGCAGAAATAAATAACCAATGTTTAGCTGGAGTCCTCATGTTGAATTTCTTATCATTTTGTGACACAGTTTCTGTGTTTGTTCCCCAGCTGATCACACCACACGCTATCCGTGTCCAGACACCTCCGAGACACATTCCCGGGGTTGTGGAAGTCACACTGTCTTATAAATCTAAGCAATTCTGCAAAGGAGCACCCGGGCGCTTTATCTACACAGGTATGTAGACACATCATTGTGCTCTATTTGTCCATGTTATCCACAAGAATTTTAAACTGAGACTGATTTTGACTGAGTTTGTCCTTCCTTTTTTAGCTCTTAATGAACCAACCATAGATTATGGCTTTCAGCGTCTTCAGAAGGTTATTCCTCGGCACCCTGGTGACCCAGAGAAACTAGCTAAGGTGAGAGAAAGCTACATATATGACCTTACTATATTACGATTATCTTTCAAACCACAGTGCACATGTCATAAAGAGGTTATTGTATTCAATTTGGTTTTTATTCTTTTGTTTTTTGCAGGAGATCCTCCTGAAAAGAGCAGCAGATCTTGTGGAAGCCTTGTATGGAAATCCACACAGTAATCAGGTTTGGTGGAAATTTTCTTTACATATTGTATTGAAGCCCAGAATAATGTACACATGTGACTGTGATTTTGTATTTTTTACATATTAACAATTAGCATTGATTTATAGACTGAATTTCTAATGTAAATGACTGATGGTTTCCAACATTTCATTATAACGACTGCATCTTCCAAAGAGGTGTGGCACTCAGAAAGCTAAAAGATTAAAAAACATTGCAAAAAAGTACAATTTTAGATTGTGGATGTCAAGTGGCTGTTCAGCTGCTGATTCTCAGTTTGCACATGAAATGAAAACTCATGAAAGCACCAGTATGAGTCAGAAAACTGTCAGCTGCACGGTTGGTACACCGTATGAAACTTGTAGCTAATGGGCTAATTGGGTGTAGTGGAGACATTCACAGTTTTAGACATTAATTAGATATTAGATATTGTGTTTACTGCCAAGCTAAAGATATATTAATTAACAGCAATAACATGTTGGCCAAACTGCATTATATGTCTGTGAGCCTGACCCATTGCTCTCTATTTTATTTGCCCTCCTGTAGGACATGCTACTGAAACGAGCGGCTGACATTGCCGAGGCGCTCTACAGTGTTCCCCGTCCTCACAGTCAGCTGCAGGCACTGCCCAGTTCACCAGCCCACGGCAGCGTCATGGGCCTGGGCTCCTATCCCTCTCAGTTGGGTGTGAGCATCGGAGAGCCAGGACAGAGCAGCCAGGGTGAGCAAACTGAGCCTTAAGTCATCCTTCACGTTTGATTTTGAAGCTAATAAAGCTCAAATGTAACCCAACTTTTCCACGGCCCCTCCAGGTTACATTCGCAACTCGAGCAGTTTGTCTCCAAGGGGTTACCCGTCAGCCTCAACTCCCCAGCAGTCAACCTATGGCACCAGTGGAGGGATGACTGGAGGCTATGGGACAGTTCCCATGACTAGTCTAGGTGTTCCTGGATCTCCTGGTTTTAACAGTGCCTCCCCCACTGGCTCTCCCTACAGTAAGATCTTAAAAACTTTCTAAATATCTTCAAGTGTGCATTAATGAACTTAACAAAGCAGATGTGTTATGACTTTCAGGCTTAAAGTTGACTGTTGCTCTCTGTTCCACAGTAATGCCCTCTAGCCCCACTATACCAGGAAGCTCCAGCTCCTCATCTTCTCTCTTGCCTTTCTCCTCCTTCCCGTCTGCTGCTAAACAGAAGAGTGCTTTTGCTCCCGTCCTCAGGCCCCAAGGCTCTCCCTCCCCTGCCTGCCCCGCCTCAGGGGGGAACAGCTTCAGAGGTAGTCATCCAACTCACTATCTGACCCCCCTGTCTGAACTTATGAATGCAGTCTAACCCCTTGTACTAACTCGAAAGCTTTGACTGAACAAGACAGAAAACAGTTGCTGGATGTAGAATAATGCAAGAGCTGACTGAGTCGAATCATAGATTTTGTATATTTTTTTCTCTCCAGCAATGACGGGCCTGGTTGTTCCCCCGATGTAGCAAAGCACCCCCAATCTACCCCAGACCACTGCTTCACTTAGCCCCTCTTTTGGCACTACGAGGGCAGGGAGAATGGAAAATTGATCACTAGCGACCATGTACTGTATATCTTCCCTCCCCAACCCCGTATGCTCGCCTTTTCTTAGTCCCTTTTTCATCCGTCTGGATGAACAGCACGGGGTATGAAAATGTCCAAAGACCAGCTATCCACTGCAGACACGGAGGAGAATAATCCACCCACAACCACAGAGACCATCCTTAGCAAGCAGCACTAGACTGGACCACATTCGGCTGTGTACGTGTGTGTGTGTAATGAAGCCTCGGAAAAGAAACAGATGAAGACTGCTTTGAATTTCGCCTCAAGCTTCAAAAGCATCTGTGTTGACTTCTGACCAACCATCACATGCAGTATTCACCTTTTTTCCTCAACACCTGCGCAAAACCACGGCCAGAGTTTTACAGGACGCACAACGAGAGCACTGAACACTGATGGACGACAGACAACTCGGATAAAAAGTTGCAGCTCTAAAAAGCAGGGTGCTATTCTGTCTGCGTATGGACACGTTAAACGGCATGTGTGTAAACCGTCTGTGAGTTAGTGAGAGGTTTTTTTGTAGTAGACTTTTTGAAGACAATTTACATTCCAGAAAAACAAACCCTTTATTTTTTGTTCTGATCGTTACGGTTTTTCAAGGGAGAGCTCTTTGTCTCAAGGGTTATTACTAAAGGAATTCATATATTGATTTATTTAAAAACAAGCAATTTAACTTATTATTGTTAGTTTAGGTAATAATATAAACGTGTTTTTATACAGTGATACTTTTTCCAGCTGTTACTGACATGAATTTATCTCAGCGGTTACTAATGAATTTGATGAATGATCAGCATAGAAGATGAATTCGTTTTTTTTTTTTTTTAAGTAAACATCCCCAGTTTGCAGGATCTTGCATAATGATATATATGTTGCAGAAGGTGATTCTCCTTGTGTAAAGGAAATGTTAGTTAGCCTTATCCCTTTTTAATTTCACTTTAAATGCATGCTCTCTTACACCGATGCCCTGGTACTTTTTCACTTCACGTTACAAATTTAAATATATACGACTGTGACTTTTACATTTTACACATCCATGTTAAATGTCTCAGCCCTGTACAGGTCTCTAGTCACTATGCAGTACGGTAAATAAAAGCACAAATGCTCAAAAAGAAAGAAAAGAAGCGGGCGTATTAGATGTTCACTGACCCTCATCATTCTGTTTTTACTTGTACTTCCTTACTTACATTTTTTTCAGTATGACACAAACTGCATTCTCAGGACTCGAAAAACAAAGAACACAAAGAACAGATGACTCTTGCAAAATTGTTTTTAGAGTTTGGTTAATTTTATTTATTTAAAAATTATTAGCAATTTAATATTATGTTTTTGAAGCCATCTTTCTTTGAAATGATACAAAAAATAGTTGCAAATGTGATTTGTATATCTCAAGGTGTAATTATATTTTGTGCTCCAAATAAAATGGATACTGAAAAAAAAAGGTGTGATGTTGATACAAGCTGCTTTGTTTCTTGCCCTGCGTTAAATTGTAAACTGTCTTGGCATTCATTTTCACAAACACTGGATTATCAGACAGTTTACTGGACATTAAGATTTTACCACAGTGCTCCACAACTCAAGGTTGTGCTGAATCTATTTTTGACTGCGCCCGTCACCTGTGTGCCCGTGCAGCTTGTTACACTGTTTTGTATACATAGCTGATGAGCCGCAGCATCTTAATTGTGATGCGAGCGTTAAAGACTGAGTAGAGCATGTCAAGATAAACAACACCCCCCTCTCTCCATCTCTCTTCTCTCCAATAAGCCTGCTTTTCTCTGAGGACCAAGCCTCTGGGGGCCCAAGTGAGAACCACATGAGTCTCCCTCCAACGAGGCCTCCTCCTCTCTGTCTCTTTCTCTCTCTTAAAACATACATACAAGCGTTTGCCTCACTGTCTTGTTTTTCAGCCTCTGCGTGGTACCGCTGTATTTCTACTTTCCTTCTCCCCTTTCTTTTGCTCCCTCAAATGGCCCTTCTCTGTTAATGTAATTAGCACTGGTAAAGAAGGGCAGTTAATTACCCACTCTATTTTGATCGGGTAATTAATGTTATGCCAGGAAACAGCAACTGTTTCATTAACATAGCCCTCAAAGCAGTGAGGGGGTAGGGTAGCACCCGGCGCATGCATGTCTGCATGTGCCGTGTGTGTTTGTACTGAGCACATATGGTCGAACTGCGTTTCAAAAACTCTGTTCAGTGACAGTGAGCGACACGCCGACTTCAAACATCTGACACTGACCTCAGCAGCGAGTCGATGTTTCTGCAAGTCACCATGCAGTCTTTGTCACCATCAAGTAGCACTTGCAGCTGCCTCTTCCTCATCATCGCTCCCTGTTGCTGTCTCTCCTTTGATATGCTGTTAATTTGACAAGTTAAAGTCAGCTTTGTTGCCAGCACCTCAGCATTCATCTTGCTGAGTGCTCCTTCTGTCCAGTGGTGCAGGAGCCATATGCTGCTCTTCCACGAGACTGTTATGTTGTTGCTGCTGCTGATGCGAATGCGGCAGCACCATTTACTGTTTCCTGATCACAATTTGGATAAAGACAGGATGAGATGCCACCTGCCACCAAGTCATTCCACATTACACTCAGAGCACAGCTGCAAATGAGCATAACTGCTAGAGGGCAACTGCGTCATCTTTTATTATAGATACTGCTGTTTTAGTTAAAGTACTGTCACCCTCACAAAAGAGTGAGCACAAAATGCACCCTTGCCTTCTTCCCTCTCAAGGGATGTGTTTGTGTTTATATACCCAATTAGCCCTCTGGCCACAGCGTGGCCATGCATTAGGGCTGACATTAGCCCCAGGTCTATGTGTGCATGTGTGTAAAATATACACCCCTTTCTCATATAAGGCATAATTTCATGGGTGTGCGTGCCTTATTAGGCAGGCTGAGGCAGCGCTTGACAGGGGTGGCCCACTGTTTTGTCAAATAGATGGGTAGATTGGCTTCCACACACCCAGTCAGTGTCCTTTGCCTTTGGCCCATCAGTAAAACCAGCATTGTTGCCCATTAGACCACTGGACCCCGATTCCTTTTTCCAAAATGAATCCCCCACCCCTTCTGCCATTCCCTTGGGTGTCAGTAGAGTGGGGTGGCAGATGGGACCGACACAGAGCTGCCCCATGAGACCAAACCCCCCCCCAACAAAATACACACACGTGTGCATTCACATATAGGTACACACATAAAAGCATGCACACACACACACACACACACACACACACGCTCAGACGTACACACATGCACAAATTCATAAGAACAACACGCACACTGTGCACAGACACACACAAAGCACAGCAGTGCTACACTGCTCCCCTGCCCCCAGACACAAACCTCATCTGCCAGCCTGCTGCTTTTGTCCAGACCACAGGAGTTTATGCTGTGAACACAGAGTGACGTCTCTGTCCCTGCCTCTCAATCTGTGCTCTGTCTACCTGTGTGTGTGTGTGTGAGGGAGAGAGAAAGAGAAACAGCTTTTTGGGATGAGAGCTGTAGCTAAAATGACATTTCCAAGACAATTTTCAATTCAAAAGTGATTACATGTCCCTCCTGTCATGCTGACACTGAGCTCCTGGTCCTGATTTAAGAAAATATTCAGTTTTGAATACATTTTAAAGGTCATCGGTCATTTTCATCTCATTGCTTTTGAGTCCATGTAGAACTTCTGTATGTGCTGCTTTTAATCAAACCCTGACTAATGGAAACATTTACATCAAACACACCAACAACGCTGTTGTTGGTGTGTTTGATGTTCTGTTATTGAATTTTGATACCAGTGTCCCAACCTGGTTGTCCCACAGACTGTATCTTCAGGTAATTAAAGCAGAGAAGTTTTACTGCAGACTGTTGAGCAAATATAAACTAACTAAAGCAGCTATTGCTACAATAAAACGTGGTTTCTTTCTTTTTTCCCCCTTACTGTATATTGTTCCGTGTTGTTGGGGATGGTCCGCGTTTGATGGTCGGACTCTGTTTTATGTAACGATCCCTCGTCTCCTCTGGGTGCGTTATTGACAATTAGCCAGATTAGAAGAGTGGGGATGTAATTTGGACCAAACGTATGTATTGGCTGCTTTTGCGCGCCTGTGTGAGGTGAGAAGGCCCCACGCTGGTGATTAATTACAGCCAGGCCCGTGTGACAGAGCTGGGAGCTCTCCCGGTGCTGTCTACAGCCGACATGCAGGGAAATCCAGCCTGGCTAATTGACCCGGCTTCTGTAAGGCCATCCATCAACCGTGGCCCGAGTGGCCCCGTAAGAAACACATTATTCAGAGGTAAGTTAGTTAACCAACTAGCGCTCCACCGTTCATTAATGGTATTAGGTCCTCTCCTGTCTGTCTCAGCAAACCAGCGCGTCGTGCGCTACAACACTGGAGGCATGCGCAATCAAAGCTAAGCTAGTGTAAAATGTTATTTTGTGTGGTCGTTGTTGTTTTAATAGATTGTCCCCCGAAAACTTATACAAGTACAGAAGCTGAGGTTTGTAGACCCAAAGGAAACAGCAGAACACGCCAGTTTTTAGCATTTGTTCCAGTGTTTTATCATCTAAGTTGCTAATTTGATGAAAAAACCCAAAGCAGTTTCACCGCACTTTTATGATTTATTTAGTTTACTTATATTCTAGTACTTCTAACTTCTTAGAAAAAAAATGAATGCAATCAAACAGTACTATATGAATGAATATTATTATTATTGTTGTTAATATAAAAAAAAACACACACAGGTGTAATAGCGTCCAGAGGAGTGTCTGGGTTGTGTGGTTATACCTTATACACAAAAATGGAGAACCACGAGGTCTCCGTTCTTCAGACCTGGCCTGGGCCCACATGTGCTTTCACTTGACCTCTTCCTGCCTCCCACCCCATGCAGCAGACCCCCAGATATCTCACATGAAGAGAAGATATATGGAGACATATTTTAAAGTCAGCGAGCAGTGCGGGCGTTTGGATGTAAGCGGGAGAGATGATTTCTCATCCCCAGAAGGTGACTTTTCATACTGGAATCTTTCCCCAAATATCCGGTCTCCTCCCTCCCTGCGAGGTTTGCTGCTAAAGCAGAGAGTAAATGCAGCTGGGTCACATCTAGATGTCACGGTGAAGTTATAGTTGAGTATGTATACGTCTACGAAAGGGTGAAGGCATCAGAGTCTGTGAGCTTTGGGATTTATTGGAGCAGCGTGTAGACTTTGAATAAAAAATATGTACATATATTTGGTGATTTGAAGACTGGAGAGTGCTCATCAGCACCATTCATGATCATCTTCATTTATGCAAACTGTGGCTCATAAACTGTGAGTGTGAGGTAGCCCCATAGCACCACCTACCTGTGAGAGAACAGGGCTGGAGTTCCTCTTCCTTTGCCTCCTTTGCTCTTCTTTTAAACAGTCTTTGTGCTAGTTAGTCTACAGCTACAGCTGCTTTGAGCTACAGTTCAAAGCAGCAAATGTATTTAGTTAAAGTTTTACTCTTTTTTTCTTTTTTTAGCAGTTTCATTTGTGCTCAAATTTCTACCTGTGTAAATTCTATCAGTGTTGTAGCAGTGGCTTCTCATCAGTAGCAACACTATCACAACCGCCCCAAATAACCATTTTCTGTATTTTGGTGTCCTCTGTTTACCAGCATGCATAAATATGCAGAAGGATATCTAATCAAATAAATCCATTCATTAGGTGAGCTGCTGGTATTTCTGCTTTTGCATTAATTACATAGTCATTACCATATCAATTAGAGAAATCAGAGATCATGTAATTAAGGTTTAACCAAAAGCACCTGCTGCCTCTGAGCTGTGGTGTGTGTGTGTGTGTGTGTGTGTGTGTGTGTTTCCTTCACTCCTAATCTAATCTCTGGCCTTTGACAGGACTCTCCCTCATCAATCCTGAGCTGTCGGAATCCAGCTTCTGTTTTTTTTTTTTGTTTTGTTTTGTTTTTGTTTATAGGGGTGTGCGGTGGCTGTGGCGGTGGTGTTTGGAGGGGGCGTCATGCAAAATGTTGTCATGGCGATAAAATTGATTGGCATGGACGCCTGATTAGAAAAGAATAATGGGAGACAGGTGGGAGGAGGCGGGCTGTACATCGAAAAGAACAGATTGGGACAAAGTGAGGACTAGCTGGGTGTCACGGGCACTGTCTATTTTGGCTCTAGTTACATCTTGTAAAAGATATCCAGTAATTACTCTCTAACGTTCCACAGAGGCTCTTCCTGTATTCTGAGGTGTCGGGGGTTTTTAAAT